AGGTCTTATAATTGGATCACCGACAACATAACATGACGCCTTTTATCCCCAAAGAGGTAGGCAGAGGTGCACATTATACCACTGTACCTCTACAATGTACCACCCACTTTTCACTATTTATGCTATGAGTCCCATGTAATAGAGGGTGAGCCTATTGCCATATACCGGGCACAATTCCAGACTCCGTGCTACTACTGAGAATATTTAAAAAAACCCAGTAATACTTTTCCCGACCCGGGAATCGAACCCGAGACCCCTTGCCAGGCAGTCGCACTTACGACCACTCGGTCAACGAGGCAGTAAATCATATATCACCGATAGCAGTAGTTATTGCTCTTTTTAATTGTTTTTTTACTATCTGTAATTCTTCTATGGACTATATATAAATAAACAAATAAAGATAACAATTTTCCACTCTCAATAAAACAAATCGATTTTTTTAAGTCTTTCTTTACTATATGTCAGTAATTGTATAAAAAATATAATTATTCTGCTCAATCTCCTAATCTAGTTGCTAACTGCGGACTTGCCCACGTGTCGTACCTACATAAAAGTATTTTGCGTTGGACTTTCCCCCACGTAACAGACATATATCTTCTTAACTAATAAATCAGAACCAAGTTATAAATAAAATTCTTAAAATAATTTAACGACTAAAGAAGATTAATCAGCGAGTGCCGAAATCGTCCATACGTAACTTTTATTGCTAACCATAAACTAAACCAGAGACTTCAGGAAATATAAATTACCATAAACAACTTTGCTGTTCGAAATACGAAATTTATTTATTATTATTACATTTTCTATTCACATTTTGTGTTGCATTACTTATTTTCAATCATATTTATTATATTCGAATGTCCATTTTGACATCTTGATAATATTTTAATTACATTTCGACTGCCTCGTTGGCCGAGTGGTCGCAAGGGCGACAGCCGGGCAAGGGGTCTCGGGTTCGATTCCCGGGACGGGAAAAGTATGTATTTTAAAAAAAATCTCAGTATTAGCACGGAGTATGGACATGTGCCCGGTATATGGCAATAGGCTCACCCCCTATTACATGAGACACACATAAATAGTGAAAAGTGGGTGTTACTTCTTTCATAACATACATAACATAACATCACGCTTTTTATCCCCGAAGGGGTAGGCAGAGGTGCACATTACGGCACTTAATGCCACTGTACAATGTAACACCCACTTTTCTCTAATATGTTATGAAATATGTTAGTCCCATGTAATAGGGGGTGAGCCTATAACCCTATCACATTTCCATCGAAAGAAATTACTGACAATGTTTTACTAATTTTTCCATTACAAAATTAAAAAGCTGCATATGCTCAAAGTCAAAGTCAAAAACTTTATCTTAACTAGAGCACTTGTACGTCTTACACAATATAAAGTCTCAGTCAGTCGGTCAATCTCTAATGAAGCTAGTTGCTCGTTCCATTTCTATGAAGAAGAACAAGCAATAATCTCTATTCTTCAGGCCTTAAGCCAAGGATACACTAGGGGGCAAATCTCACGACATATATCCGATATCACCTGAGATATATAAAGAAGAAAATTAATAATAATATGTTAGGAAAAATAATATGTTATCCTAGTTATAAGCATTTTTACAATTAGTTTTATTAAATGTAAGATTTTAACTTTATTATATTGTAAAATTTAACTTTGCATGCCGAAAACAGTAGGCGAATGTGGGACTATTTTCTTATAATTATTGTTACCTATAATTACATACTTCGTGCAAATAAACGTTCTTATTCTAATTCTTATTCTTATGCTTAGACATGTCGACTAAAGTCCGACAACGTCGCGCTACTTCACCCGTGTCGCAGGACTTTAGGCCCCTAGTATATTGGCTTAGTGTCTTATAGGGTTTAATTATAATCCCAGTCTTCGTATATCATTTTTAAAGAAAATCTGTAGTATCTCTGCTATATTCATTATTAAAATACAAAAACTGAACTACGCACCATCTGTCAGCTATCTCATACAATTTTTAATCAAGTAGACATATTAAAATTTATATATTTGTATTGAAATTCTAAACAAGTTACCGAATGTTTATAATTTGAACTGATTAAAATATTTTAATAATAGTATTACTGGGTTTTTAAATATTCTCAGTAGTAGCACGGAGTCTGGAATTGTGCCCGGTATATGGCAATAGGCTCACCCCCTATTACACGGGACTCATAACATAAATAGTGAAAAGTGGGTGTTACATTGTACAGTAGTATAATGTGCACCTCTGCCTACCCCTTCGGGGATAAAAGGCGTGATGTTATGTAAAATATTTTCCACGCGTTAGTCTAATTTATATTATGCAATCTGATCGTAGTTACGTGTCTATTTTTATCGTGAAAGAGAGTAATGTATAGGTGCTCACTGCTCCCTCATCGAGAGCATTCATGTATAATGTAACATTATAGATTCGACTTTGAGCATTCATCATCATCATCAACAGCCTATAAATGCCCACTGCTAAGCAAAGCCTCTTCTCACACGGATAAGGTTTGAGCATTATTCACCACGCTTGCTCATTGCGGGTTGGCGATTTCAAACTAATAATTAGAAATTATAAGCCCAGGTTTCTGCTTGATGTTTTCATTCGCATTGACTTTAAGCATTTAATAGCAAAATGTAAGACATTGATGTTACAAGTTGTATCAAGATAATACACACTGTATCATTACAAGGTGCGCATTGTAATGCTCGGTTCTCCTCCTTCACTGATGTAATGTTGAGACCTCTAACGTTACATTACACGCGAATGCTCCCGGTGAAGGAGTATTTTGCACAAAAAGATGCCTGCGTCCAGTGACTATAATCGTAATCATCATGGATTGTTGTGGTAGGACCCCACTGATCCCCAAACTACCACCTATCTTTTGCATTGCGCCGGTAAGATGTTAGGCGAGGGAGAAGATGTTACACGTCGGGGAAAGAAGTGGGTGGGTTCTCCCTCTGGGCCCGACGGCAGCCCCAGCCAATTTTACACTACCGTACATAATTCATACACGTACATCTATAGTAAACCCTATTATTTGGTATCACATCACATCAACAGCCTATAAGTGGCCACTGCTGACCAAAGGCCTCTTCTCGCACAGAGAAGCATTGAGCATTAATCACCACGCTTGTTCAAAGTAGGTTGGCGATTTCAAACTTATAATAAAACATTATAAGCCCAGGTTTCTGCACGATGTTTTCCTTCGCCATTTGTCAGTGGTATCTAAATAATCTCAAAAAGTACATATATACAACTGGAAAAATGACATTAATGTGTCACTTTTTACCTTCTGTGCGTTGTTAGGTTTCGAATCAGCATCCGGGTCACCATGACAGATTTATATATAATTATAACTATAAAACTACTGTTATTACCTATTGTTATACCAAAGTACGTGGTTTTTAATGAAGTTATATATTTTGTAACCATTGTTTGGTTCAGTAGTCAACCTATGATTACTGTCTCTGTAAAGAATCAATTTTTTGTTTTCTTGTCTGTACGGTATACAAAATAACTTGACTTGGCTTTATACATATTTATACACACACACACATATACACATAAGTACATAAATTATTTGGAAATCGCTAAACCTATCTTAGAATGATGTAAAAATTAAAGAAATTGACAGCCGAAGACAGTCGACTGCTGGACTGTGGGTCTAGCATAACTAGGTAGTACTTGCGTGATACTCTTTAGTTATTACCCATCCCTGTGAATAAAAGTAAGTGGCGCTTTTTATTTCCTACATATCTTTATAGGACAAAGGTGAGGTTAAGTATAAATAAATTACTTGTACGATAGTAAAATGTTTTTTTTTGTATTATTACATTACAATTATATCCTTAACCTACGAGCATGTATGAAAAAACTGATGACTGTTGATAAATCGAAAGAGGTATGTAGGAATCATAGCAATTTACGTTCCATAGTCTCCGCCTACCCCCATAGGAGATAGGCGTGAGGTTATGCACATACATAACTTAATATTGAAATACATACGTATGTATTACATTACAATAATATTATTATTTAGCTAATTAATACTCTTAGTAAGACACTGAGTATTCCGAAAAAAAAATCTAATTCCAGTTCTACCGAGAATTTTAATAATTATAGAAATAAGTATACTTTCCTTAAGGGTTCAATTTCAGTACCTACTGAGAACTGAGTACTCAAAAAATGAGAAGCAAGACTTAAGTGCGGGTTGATAAAAAGGGCGATTTAAATAGGACCTATCTTATATACTGGCGTATACTATGATAGAAAAATAATTAGTTTTAAACAATTCCTGGGACATATATGGTATGGTACATGAAAATAAGCATGGACAACCTATCTTGGAATTAAAAAAAAACGTAATAATTAAGAACATGCGAGACCTGCTTTAGTTTTCCAATATTGTTAAAAAAAAAATTAAGGAGATTTTTTTATTATAAGATTATTATACAAAACTCAGGCACTAAATTGTTGAATAATCCTACGTTTTGGTTAGAAGACCTTAGTAAGTGTGAACGTGGACTTAAAAGATTTCTTGATATCCTCAGAAGAAGAAAAATATTTAAAATTTCTGGTAATACGATAGCAATATGATAAATCGGAAAAATACATAATATGAATTTTATTATACAATACAATATTTTTACTAATTTAAATTCTTAATTATTGATTTAATTCAATTGGAAATCATGAGCACCATTTTATTGTTATACTACTTATAAATTATACTTAGTTGCATAAAAAAATGCTTCTATTGAAGTACTCTACTCGATACATTTCTAGTCCGTCCTAATTAATTAATTGACACCAGACCATTTGTCTAATGAAATTAGTAAATTGACACAGCTCTACAAAATCAAATATTCATTACATTAATTTCGAAAATTGAATAAACTTGCCAACCATAAAGTTACTTTCTGAAAACCACCGAACGAAACGAAAGTAAATAATTAATCCAATTTAAAAACTAAGTACAAACCTGCCCAGCAACTTTGTGAAGCCACACAAATAAAAAAAAAATAAAACAGAAAAAAAACAGTCACGTAAAACACAACACTAGTTTTAAAATATAATTTAAATAAACACTAACACGATTATAGACACAGATAAAATTGTGTAATTTATTTGGGACGCGATCGAGCGATTCGTAGCCGGCACGACGTAGACTCCGTAGCAAGGTCTACGCGATACTGCCGCTACGCCGGGCTATGAATACCTACCTTCGATGTGCGCACGCTTAGGCTCAGCACAGATGGTGCGATTCCATTCAAGCCGCGTTTTCTCGTATGTCGGGAGCATTTTCATGAAAATGAATAATCTTCTGGCATTTCATTTATTGATAAAATCTTCGTTTAGAAAAAGAATTCTTTTTTGTTTATTTTCGGTTAGTAACGAGGTTTTGAATTTAGTTTTTATGTGCGTGCTACTGAATTTATAATGAATAGAAATCGGTTAGCTGTTCAGTTTTGATATAGAAAATAAATAGCTAAGGCGCTACGCGATAACATTATCTGAATTGATTTAAATTGCCTAATTTACTTTTCATTTTAACTAAAAAATTGCGTTAAAAAGTTCATTTAAAGTAATTTCTTTATATCACGTAAAACGACATATTTCTCTTCAGCATTGAAATATTATAAATTACATTAGTTAAGAAACGACACAAAAAAGGTTTAATAAAAAAAGATTTCATACATGACAGAGTACTTTCCTAAAGGCTGTTTGAAAAACATTAGGCAATGGTCAGGTCAGTCTCTCGTTCGATGTCTGGCAAGTACTTGATTTATTGTCATCCCCAACGCTACTTTAATGGGAGTCTGGAACTGCCTGTAAGCGAAAAGCAATGAGTATTACTTGTATTATTATTTTTATCTGCAAAATAGCTGCCGTGTTGGCAAGAGTTTTATAAAGGTCTCTTCTCACACGAAATAGGTTTCAGTTTGAGTATAAATCACCGCGCTTTCTCAATGCGGTTGGCGATTTAAAACTTACATAATAACTATAAGTTTCATCATCCGCAACCTATATAAGCATATAAGTGGCCACCGCTGAACAAAGGCCTCTTCTCACACGTAGAAGATTTGAGCATTAATCACCACGCTTGCTCAATGTGGGGTGGCGATTTCAAACTTATAATTACAAATTATAAGTCCAGGTTTCTTCACGATGTTTTCCTTCACTGCCAGTGGTGTCTAAGTGAAATTAGAAAGTACATATTCGGAAAAAGTCACATTGATACTTGCTGCTCGTAGGTTTCGATCTCACACTCTCTTGCATGAGAAGCGGGCTCTTTAGCCTTTGAGCAACAACGATTAGTTACTGTAACGATCTAACCAGAAAACTAGACTCAAACTTCTATTTCAGCAACATGGACTGAACAACCGTATCGTTCCTGCAGTGCTAGTAAAACTACTAACAGTCACATCATATGCATGCGTGGTGAAATAAAGAAAGAAGTTCTTTTGTAAAACTACAGAGGTTTGTTTTGTCTAGAAATCTACAGTTTGTAATAAACATCATCACAAAATGTTACCAATAGTATTATTTTTTACTTTTTATCATCATCATTAACAGCTTATTCTCGTCCACTGCTGGACACAATGCAGTTCAATCCTGGAGGCACGCCACTGAGCTCGATCTTCATCTCTGAGCAGGGTTTTACTTATATTGTAATCTAATAATTATATTATTCAACCAGTGACTTAGATTTTAACAAGTTATTATATCTACTATCCTTAATAAAATCTCACTGATAAGGTTTTAATTTTAAACAATGTAAGTGCGTAATACTGTGGATATTTAACTAACTAGACATATTATTCTACTTTCCAAAAACCACCTTGATTGACCTGGTTATCCTTAAACTTCAGATGCAAGTGTTTCCAAACAGGGAACTTATTCGGATGCAAGTTTGAGGAGGTGGTGGCTAACTTACAGCTGCTTAGACCAACTGATCTTAACTTTAAGCTGTTCGTTGTGGTTTGTAGCTAGAGTGTGAATAGGTCACAGTTTTAGCACCTAAAACCGAACAAATTGAGGTTTTAGCCATAGAGTATATTGTCTTGAGTAAATTATTATTAAAATTGAGTAAATTATTGGACTTATCGATTTTAATATTGTCTGTAGATAAGTAACAGCACGAGTTCAGATAATAAATATAAGTAGTATTTATAAATCAGGCCACCATGTAACATAATGTAACATATCAGGCCACCAAGTAAAAAAATTATTATACTGCTGATTATACCATCGCGATTTATTTAATAGCAATAATTGTCATCATCATCATCCACATTGAAACGTCCATTGCTGAATATTCCTCTGTGTATAATCCAACAATTGGCAGGTGACTATGACATCTTAATTTAAAGAAGATTACTACCCACGCTGTAATCTGATCGTAGGTTTAGAACAACGCAGGACTACACAAAGGGCATACACCCACAAATGACTTTACGTTATACAGTTACATGAAAAGATTGATGACTGTTAATGAAGCGAAAGAGGTATATATGAATCGTAGTAATTGGCGTTCCTTAGTCTCTGCCTACCCCCATGGGAGACAGGCGTGAAGTTATGTATGTATGTAGTTACAATATTATATATAACAGTTATAATATTGGTGTAACGTAAACTATCTCTATCTTACAAAAGTGCATAGTCAATCCAAAGACGTTAAAAAAAGGGGGAAATAATGCCACTTAGTAATGATTGAAGCACCAAAATATCAGTAGCGTATTTATGTATGCGTGTACTTGCAACACCGTAATGTATGTACATATTATGAAATGTAATGAAGGGCGTGAAGGGCCATTACTTAAATAAGTAAACTACTATTTTTACTTTATAAAACTATAAAAATAACAACTTATTAATACACTGAAATAGGCAAGTTCAGAGTTCAGATACTATAAATAATAATCAAACTGTTTTTTGTCTCTTGTTACTTCCTATACATTGTTAAGATTATTTTTTACAACATTGCTCGACGCGATGCTCTTTTGGCCCGTGAATCGGATTTGGTATTTACTCACACAGTAACGCAATGCGGGAATTCAATTTTTCAGAATAAATTTCAATAAAATATTCTAACAAAATCTTCAAATAATTTTAATAGATTCCTGTTATAACTAGTTCACAAATTGCGAGTCTTTCTCGCGTGACCAAAAAATAACTTCATTTTTATAACATTCAATTCAAATGGGTAGTTGCCGGCGTTTATCGGGATTTCCATCAAATTGACTTCATGATAAAATCTCAATGACTTGCTGAAGCGATTTTTCAAATAGTTGTTTTTGTGTACAGAATCGTTAGCACGCTAATATTTCACCCGCTTAAGAAAAACAAAGGTCATTATAATATTAATAACACTATGTTCACTTTTGGATTGTCATGTACATACATACATACATAACATCACGCCTTTTATCCCCGAAGGGGTCAGCAGAGGTGCACATTCTGCCACTGAACAATGTAACACCCACTTTTCACTATTTATGTTATGAGTCTCATGTAACAGGGGGTGAGCCCATTGCTATATACCGGGCACAATTCCAGACTCCGTGCATAAGAATTTTTTGAAAACTCAGTAATGCTTTGCCCGACCCTGGAATGGAACCCGAGACGTCGCACTTGCAACCACTCGGCCAACGGGGCAGATTGTCATGTTGCAAGTCTTATTTAAAAGTAATTAACAAAATCAATAATAGGGTCTTTTAGTATCATGATTTTTATTTGATGATAGTTGTCGCGCTTGTCTTTAACTGTAAATTCTAGGTAAAAGAACATGATACATTTAAGCGTAAAGCCTAAAACAATGCTCGTTTCATTTAAGCTACGGTCTCAAGACGCGATTTTCAGCCGTGCCCGTCGTAATGGTGGAATGGAGATTATTTTTTATCTCTTTGTTATTCATTTTCTATCGCTTATACCACGGGGAGTGCTCTGAGGAATTGGTTGACCTGATACCTGCCGCAGGTTTTCGCCATCGACCCTCACGACAGCTTACCTATGCATTACCATCATATAAATGGTTCATTCTTCTTACAATGCTTTCTGCCTCGCACAGCAAAACTGTGGAATGATCTGTCGTCGGCGGTATTTCCGAACCGATACGACCTTCAAACCTTCAAGAAAAGAGCGTATTCCTTTTTAAAAGGCCGGTGACGCACCTGTGACACCTCTGGTGTTGCGAGTGTCCATGGCCGGCGTTGATCGCTTACCATCAGGTGATCCGTAATCTATTTGACTCCTATTCCATAAAAAAAAATTTTTTCAACTTCTCGTGACCGCAGCTTTCTGCGGTTCTGCAACCGCCCCGGTTGCGATTATCGCCCGCTAACTTAGCGGTTGATTATCGCAAACATGAGTCCTTAGACGGCACGTAGATTGAAATTGAATACGATGTTTTGTAACAAAAATAACAAACAATACAGTGGACAAAAAGTGATTATATTGTAAACCTACGTCTGCTGAAGTTGTCAAGTCATATTACCTACGTTCCAATATACTTACTTGAATAAGAAAAAAATATTAAAGATTAAGAATGTGACTCCATTTAATACCGCTGTTATTACGCAATGTTCATTGGAATTCATATGTGAGGACTGAGCAATCTCCTCACAATGTAATGAGGAGGGTATAAAAAGTAAAAAGGGGATTACTGGGCCTCTTGAAAAACTGTGAATTATATATGACATGTAATTCTGAGTTCATATTTTATTTTTAAGTTAAGTACGTGTATTTCCATGTGTATTTTTTCTTCTTAAAAACCATTGCCCCACACTAGGATTTTTCTCCTGTCGTGGTGTCGTGGGTGCGTTTACACACATACAAGTTCATATGACACCCAGACCCGAAACAACAATCTGTGGATCAAACATTTTATTGTTATTTTTTATGCTTAGGTATATATATTTACACGGATATAAAATTATAAATAATGTTGAATTGCACCTGTTCTTTGAAGAGATAGGAAAAAAATATAATTAGCTCGTTTTTAAAATTAATATTTTTGAATGTGTTATTGTTTTGTGATTATGTGTAGTAATTTAATAAAATCCATTGGTGCACATTACGGCATTTACTGCCACTGAACAATGTAACACCCACTTTTCACTATTTATGTTATGAGTCCCATGTAATAGGGGGCCACCCTATTGCCATATACCGGGCCCAATTCCAGATTCCGTGGTACAA